TGGAAGGTAGCCGGCAGGCTGCGTTCAAAGACACGGGCACGGCGGGTGCAAGGAGTAATGGTGTCTTGGTGAGAAGGAATCAGCGTTGGAGTTGGTGTCGGCGAGGCAAGAGTAGTTGCATGAATTGCAGCCACGACCAGGAGGTGGAGGCGGGCGAGGCAAGACCTTGGCCTGGCTGTCTGGTACGGTAGGTAACCTAAGGTACCTACCTACCTCACCTTGCTTGGGTCGGTCTAGGTGTGAGCAGCAAGCAGCGTGTCCACGGTCGGTCTGCGTCGGTCGGTAGATGTCTGGCGGGCAGGTAAGGTACCTACAGTACTGACGCAAATGGTGGGATCCGGCCGCTGGGGCAGCAGGCACGAGACAGGTTGACGAGTTCGAGGCGATTACCAGTCAGCCCTCCTTCGTCCAGTGAGGGAGTTGCAGAGTACGTGACTAGACACTGAGCTTGAGCACTGCTTCTGCGGAAATCCAGTCGTCGTGGAGCAGGGAAGGAGAAGGAAAAAAAATAAGTTGGAGAGGGCGCAGTGTGTGGTGCCGCGACAGAGAGCAGCCCGTACAGTTGATTTGCTTGATCCTCTTCCTCCAGTGTCAGTGAAGTGTGAGAGGCAGCTCGATGGAGACGGGACGGGGACTGCGATGGAGACTTGGAGAAAGGTATCGCCTGTTAACGAAACGGGTTACGATGCTGGTTCAGCCTTGACAAAAGTGGATACCTGAGGAATCGCAGTCGAGGGCATTGCCCCGCTGTCAAGAGATCAGCCCAGCCAGTAGGACCTTTTTTATGCCCGCCTGGCTGGGCTCACCTCTCAACTCCACGCTGCCATGGAGCAAGGAAGCCCATCTCTGTGCATTCACTGCAGTGCGTACGCAGCAGGTAAGGTACCTTAGCGCAGCAGCACCGTCAATCAGTCGCCAGTTGCTGGGTGCTGTGCGGGCAGGCGGGACCACGCCCGGAGCAAAGCTGCCCTGCTGTTGCTCCACTCCCACTCCCCGGGCTCACCTCAGTCACCACACTACCTCCCGTCTGGTGCAGTGAGTGCTCCCACGAAATCAGCAGTTCCCCACCCCTCTCCAATGACGTTGCTGTGACCGCCAACATGGCTGCTTCGTTTTCTTTCATGTCTGCAAGCCACACGTCGTCTGTCCTTGGCTTAGCACGTTACCTCGCTTGAAGCGAGGCACGACTTGACACTGGTAATGCCGCCTGTTGCTGGGGTGAGCAGCACGACGCTCCCGATAGCCTTGCTGTAACAGCGGGCAAGTAGACAGGGCGAATGCCAACGCACTTTGCACTTTATTCGAAGCATCGGACATCAAGTCAATGTCCCTACTTAGGTTGGGAAAGCCTCTCTATTCGGCTGTTGCTGTTCCGTTTCCGGGTCGAATAACATCAGCACGCCAATTGTCCCTTGTGTCCCATCTCCCCTATTTCTCCTATGGTTGTCCCATTCTCACTTCCGTTCGATCTCTTCTTCAGCATCTCAGCATTTGGGTCCTCAACCCAAACGCAGACCTCAGACGATATCTCCAACTCATGACTAAGTGCACAGGCGTTCGATAACCTCACCTTAGCTTAGCTTTCCGAGTGCACAAGAGCTATCGATGCGAACCCCGACACTTCGGCCGAATTCAATGCTGCTTCTGTCTAAGCAACAGCTTACCATCTGGCACACCTTGGCTCTTGGACGTGCGCCTTCCCACAGCATTGGATGCACGTGAGCTCTTGCACCGAACATCGTTGGCGACGCTATTTGTTCTATCACGGAATCCTCTGGAGGCCAGCTTTGCAACTGTATAAACCTTACCTGATATCTGGGAGACGGTGCAGATGAGATCCAAGACGAGATCAGATGCGGCAGCCCACCTCAAAACTGCCCATTGCGGAACTCCTCCCGTCTGGAGGCTGCCGGTCAGTTGCAAATGTCACATCAACTACATCTGCCTCATGATTGGCAGCACAGCCGAGTAGAGATCCCGAGGCAATGCCTATTTCTCCCTCAGCGAACCCAACCATCGACTGCTTCCATCCCATCGCTCTTTCGCCCATGCTGTGATCCGGAAAAATAGGCCTCATACAGCTCCAGTGCAACCAGCTCATCAGGTCCGCTGTTAGCAGGAAAGAACCTCGTCTCAGTACGTCTTCGAAACAAGACAAGGTTGAGCCTTGTCACAGGGAAACAAACATCTGCCCACAACCATCTTGAACATGTGAAGACCTCTTCTTGCCTGGCTTGACTACCTATCACAACATCGACATTATCTCCTCCCGCGCTGGACAAGCGCCCAAGGCCTTAAACGACGCCTCACTCTACCTCTTTCGATGAATATGTGATTCTTCCCCTTGACCGAGCTGACATGTCTGGGAATCCGGTCTGTCAGGCGGGAGAAACGCACCTCCAAACAGCTCGTGCAGGGGCTCCATCCCGCCCCCCTCGGCCCAATCACGAACCGCCGCTACTACGCTAGACCAGGGATGCCCGTTACGGCAGTCCGCAGCGTGGTGCGCCGATTCCGCAGTGTGGGGTACCCGTTCCAGACCCTGCCAGTGCCTGCCCCAGGGTATCATTCAGCGGCCATTTCCTGCTGCGAGAGTCATCCAATCCGTCCACCACTTTTCAGGCCCCGTCCCTGGGAGACCACCAGACCATGAGCTTCAACAGCTGCCCAACCGTCCCTCGAAGATCCTAAAATTCGCTCATATACCCCTTCGCCCGACACTCCTACAGCTCCAGCTTTCCTCCCGCACCTCGAGTCCCGACAGCTCCTACAGCAGCTTCTGCTTGCTCCCTGCGCCGACGACTTTTCCCCAGAGATACTCCCCGCGCATGGAATCGACGGCATGGTTTCAATCGCATTGCGGCATGCCAGCCATGCCAGTCGACGATGCGGACTGACAGCAGCCCCGAGGAGGGCATCGCCCGCGGCTAGGAACAAGCTCCTGGATCTCAGCGCCTCGCCGTCGCAATGGCGCCCCATGAGCAGCTCAAATTGGAGACCGGTGTCGGTCCTAGACGAGTGAGTGCGCCGCCAAATCCTTCCGTTGTGTACCTGTCGTCACATGCTGACCCAACCTCTCCCAGATGGGTTGCCAAAGAAGCACGTCCTATTAGTCTTCGCCAACTTATGGTCTTTGGTCGTTCTCTCACAGAATCGCGACTTCTCAGCTCTGCAAACTACGTTCGTACGGAGCTGCCAACTAGGTACGTCGTCGCCGCCACCGAGTCATACCGCCTCCGCAGAGTCTAAAAGACTAACTCGGACCCCACGACAGAATCGCCCACCGAATAAGAGATCTGGAGCAGCTTCCCTACGTCGTCGTCGAGAACCCCCACATCAAGGAGGTATATGAGCTCTATCAAAGAGCCTTCGACACCTTTCGCAAGGTCAAGGAGATCAAGAGCCTTGAGGACAATGAGCGCTTCTGCAAGATCATCAGCGGCATGCTGAAGGCGCATCTGACCGTCATTCCAAAACTTTCGATGGGCATTCTCGAATCCAGGGGCTTGATGGATGCCGAAGACTTGGACAAGTTTATGAACACCATCCTCAGATCTGTAAGTTTCATACCCTCCTGCACGGCCGCGCCGACACCCCACGTTGGCACCCTAACATACCCCGTGTAGAGAATCTCCCGTAGAGTCATCGCCGAGCAACACCTCGCCCTAACAGAAACATACCACTCCCCCTGGTTCTCCCCAGGGGCCAAGCTCAACGAGTCAGAGTTCATCGGCGAGATCTTCATAAAGTGCATCGCCCGCGACGTGATCGAACGCTGCAGCCACGCAGTCGAGGCACTCGCCCGCTCCACGTACGGCCGTGACGTCGAGGTCCCCGAGATCAAGATCGTCGGCCACCTGGAGGCAAGCTTCCCCTACATCCTCAGCCACCTGGAGTACATCATCGGCGAGCTGCTCCGCAACTCGGTTCAAGCAGTTATCGAGCGCCGCCAACGTAGTAAGAACCAGAGCGGGCCCGTCCCGCCTATTGAAGTGACCATCTGCGAGGCCCAGCAACATGTCATCATCCGCATCTCAGACCAGGGCGGCGGCATACCCAGAGACGAGCTGCCGTTCCTCTGGTCCTTTAGTAAAGGGCCGCAGAGCGAGCGCCGGCTGGAGAACCTGGGACGGGTCCCCAAACTGGCCGCCACCATGCAAGAGCTGCACGTCACCGACGAGCTGGGCCGCGCGGACTTGAAGACGCCAAATTACGGCAGCTCTCTGTCCTCCATGACCACCCGGCCGCCGAACCTGCGTCTCGGCATGGGCCTGCCCCTGAGCAGGGTGTACGCGGAATACTGGGCCGGAAACCTCGAACTACACAGTCTCGAGGGCTACGGTGTAGATGCTTTCCTTCAGATATCGAAGCTTGGTAACAAGAACGAACAACTGACCACCAGAGCATCCATGGATGCTGTGTAACTTCAGTGTAGAGTAGAAATCATCCTTTCTTTTATTCCATATAGGTCAGGGCTAGGCACATGTAAAGATACCAACACGAATGACGACGACGGCAGAACCGGGGCATTGCAGGGATGGCGCAGTGTAGTACCTCATTACGAACACGCATTGAATGTTTAGGATTATAGACGCCTTTCTCATTAATTTTGGTATCATGAAAAGGTGAGCTGGATTACATCGTGACTAAGAAACAGGGGGTAACTAAACGGGGAAGAAAGGGGTAACAGGTTTTGTAAAGAAGAAAACTCCCGACGCATAGCCCATCTCATACCATGTCGTAGGACGTGGCTTTTGTGTGTTGTTCTTTTGATAAGACTCAGGTCGTAGTCATAAAGTCGATCACGGCGTCCAGTACGAACGACCAGATTTAGTGGCATACCCATAAAGATGCGTCTGGAAGACCGGAGACGATGCGGGCCTTTGGTGTCTTCGATCCCCGGAAGCTAAGAGAAGAACAAATGTCGAGAATCCAGCAAGCACCGACTGCCGAGACAAAAACCGCTAAAAACTCGAGGCAAAGCCTCACCGTGGACACATTTAGCGGCGGCCGTGGCTGCGGACGGCGCTTCCTTGCATCTGCTCCAGCTCGGTCTCGAGCTGCTTGATCTGGGCGTGGGTCTGCTCGAGGTCCTTGTTGAGGCGGTCGCGCTCGGCAATGAGCTTCTGCTCCCACTGGCGGAAACGCTGCTCCTCGATCTTGACCTGCTCGGTGAAACGCTTGCGCAGCGCCTCCTCCTCCTCCTTGAACTTGGGGTTGTCCAGCTTCCTGGGGCGGGCCTCGCCGAACTTGCGGGTCTCCATTTGCTGAGCGCGGTAGGCCTCGTAGTGAAGCTCCTCGGTGGTGTGGATGAGGTCGAGCATGTGGGTGCGGATGAGGATGGAGCGGAGCTTCTTGAAGTCGCAGTGGTCCTCGTTCTCGACCTCAGCAACACCCCAAGAGTACTGACGACCCTTGACGACGCGGCCGTCGGCGGACTTAACATCCTTCTCGGAACCGATGACGGCGAAGGGCATAGCGGCCATCAAGCTGCGGGCGTGCTGAGCAGCAGCCTCGTCGTCCTCCTCGACGGGGGGCTGGTAGATCTTGATGCTCTGAGCCTCGATAACGGCGCGAATCTGTGTTGGAGCACGTCAGTGTTGGTCGGTAGGAAATGATCACAGACACATACGCGCTGCTTGAACTTGGCCAGGTCCGCAGGGCTAAGAGTATCAGCCTTGGCGATGACCGGAATCAGGTTCACTCTCGAGCAGAGTCTCTTCATGACCTCGATGTCGAGGGGCTTCAAGGTGTGGCCGGTGGGGCGGATGAAGTACAAGCAGGCGTGGACACGGAGGTCGATCTTGTCCTGGCGGCGGGGCTGCTGCTCCTGAAGCATGTAAGACTCGTGCTGGTCGTCGAGGAATTCGATGATGGGCATCCACGAATCGCGGTTGTTGACGTAGTCGCCGAAGCCGGGGGTATCGATAACTGTCAGGCGGACTATAGCAGGTTAATCGTATGATCCAGACATTGGGGTTCCTGGGAGAACCATACCCTTGAAGAACTTCTCCTCAAGCTCAGCCTTGGTGATCTCGATCTCGACGGTCTTGTCGACCTGCTTCTGGTGACGGCGCTTGTGGTCGGCATAGTTCTTGATGGTCGTGGAGAAGAGGGTGTTGATGAAGGTAGTCTTTCCAAGGCCAGACTCGCCCGCAACCTAGAATTCAATCAGTATCCCGTCCAATATCGTCCAGCAAGATGCCTCTCAACAGAATTTTCGTACCATAATAGTAAAGCCAGCTCCTCGCTTGGCGACAATCTTATGCCGCTGGTTGGGGAGGTTGGCGATACCAATCGGTGAAGCGCTCTCGGCGGCGGCGGGGGCCATTTTGGGCGGTATTTGAAGGTTGACTGCTCAAAACACTTTGTTGATGGCTGATTGGAGCTGTTTGGCCGCGAGTCTCGCAATTGAACACGCGACGGATTTCGTGATGTGGTTGCGGTGTGGGCGTGTTGACAGTTGAGTTGGGGAGGTTTGAGCTTGTGCTTCAGGGGAATCAAAAGGTGCCACCTCCAAATTTCCCTTACGGTCTTCTGGGGTTGTCTGCTGCACATTCATTGGGCACTTGTCCAGGGGACTAATGAAAGGGCCCCCCTTTTCCTGCCAATCAGTCCCCTTTTCCCCTGGTCCGTTCACCCAACAGCGCGCCTTACCTTAATGGGAATAGCCCACGGATGTAAGGATGAATGATTCGCCGACCCCACCAAAAAAAGTCCAGTCCCGGCTCAATCGATAAGAAACTTGGAGAGAATTTCTGTAGCTTCAAGGTGAGGAAATGGGTGCCAATTGACAATGAAGACCGATTTCAAGGTACGGTTCGCGTCTTTTCCCGCAAGCGCATGCGATTCTGACCAGGTATTAAACTCGTAGTTCTCCAACTTGCTCGGCACGGTTTACTGCCAGGGCAACCTGCTCTTCAGCCCCGATGGCACCCATTTGTTCTCCCCCGTAGGGAACAGGGTCACTGTCTTCGATCTTGTGAAGTAGGTGAAGGCTCGCGAAATGTCGCGAATCGGCGCGTAAGGCACTGGTATGCTAATCGAGATCTGTAGTAACAAGTCTCATACTCTGCCATTTGCGCATCGAAAGAACATCTCGAGAATCGGCCTGACGCCCCGAGGAAACCTGTTGCTGTCGATCGACGAAGATGGCCAAGCTATCCTGACGAATGTCCTTCGCCGAATCGCCATTTACCGATTCTCCTTCAAGTCAGCTCCCACCACGCTGTCATTTGCCCCATCGGGACGCCACTTTGCCGTTGGATTGGGTCGCAAGATCGAGGTCTGGCACGTTCCATCCACCCCGGACGCCAACGCCGAAGGAGAACTCGAGTTCGCCCCCTTTGTGAAATACCACACCCACACCGGCCACTTTGACGACGTGCGCCACATCGAATGGTCTAGCGATTCGCGATTCTTCCTCAGCACGTCCAAGGATCTGACGGCCAGGATATGGAGTTTGACTCAAGAGGAGGGATTCGTGCCTACGGTGCTCTCCGGTCACAAGCAAGCTGTGATTGGCGCCTGGTTTTCGGAAGACCAGGAGACAATTTACACGGTCAGCAAAGACGGCGCAGTTTTTGACTGGCAGTATGTCGGAAAGCCGGTTCAGGACGAGGACAAGATGGTTGACGTCGACGAGGACGATATGCGCTGGAGGATAGTCAACCGACACTACTTCATGCAGGGCAGCGCGCATGTGCGCTGCGCGACCTTCCACCCCGAGTCCAATCTGTTGGTGGCTGGCTTCTCCAACGGCACCTTTGGCCTGTACGAGATGCCCGATTTCAACATGATCCACAACCTGAACATCTCTCAGAACGACATCGACTTTGTAACGATCAACAAGAGCGGCGAGTGGTTGGCTTTTGGCGCGTCGAAGCTGGGTCAATTATTGGTTTGGGAATGGCAGTCCGAGTCGTACATCCTCAAGCAGCAGGGTCACTTCGATTCCATGAACTCCCTGGTCTACTCGCCCGACGGCCAGCGTATCGTTACGATCGCCGACGACGGAAAGATCAAAGTTTGGGACGTCGAGTCAGGATTCTGTATTGTCACCTTCACAGAGCACACGAGTGGCGTGACAGCCTGCGAGTTCTCCAAGAAGGGCAACGTTCTATTCACATCTAGCTTGGACGGCTCAGTAAGAGCGTGGGATCTCATCAGATATAGAAACTTCAGGACATTTACGGCCCCGACGAGGTTATCATGGTCCTGCATGGCCGTGGACCCCAGCGGCGAGGTCGTCGCTGCTGGATCTCTGGACTCTTTCGACATCCACATCTGGTCTGTACAAACAGGTCAGCTCCTGGACCAACTGTCAGGGCACGAAGGACCTGTGTCCGCTTTGGCCTTCACGCCAAACGGAGACTCTCTCATCAGTGGCAGCTGGGACCGCACCGCAAGAGTGTGGTCCATCTTCAACCGAACACAAACAAGCGAGCCTCTGCAGCTACAGGCCGATGTGCTCGACATCGCCGTGCGCCCCGACTCGCTGCAGCTTGCCGTCTCAACGCTGGACGGTCAGCTGTCGTTCTGGTCTATCCAAGATGCAGAGCAGGTGTCAGGTGTAGACGGCCGCCGCGATGTCTCTGGTGGTCGCAAGATCACCGACCGCAGGACAGCAGCCAACGTGTCAGGCACAAAGAGCTTCAACACGATTCGATACAGCACAGATGGCAGCTGCTTGCTGGCCGGCGGCAATAGCAAGTACATCTGCCTTTACTCAGTCCACACGATGGTGCTTCTCAAGAAGTTCACTGTCAGCGTCAATCTCTCCCTCTCCGGAACGCAAGAGTTCCTCAACAGCAGGCACCTCACCGAAGCCGGCCCCGACGCCATGCTCGACGACCAAGAGGCCTCTGATCGTGAGGACAGAGTGGACAACACCCTCCCAGGCTCTAAGCGCGGCGATCCTTCTTCGAGGAAGAAGCAGCCCGAAGTCCGCGTCTCAGGCGTCGCCTTCGCGCCCACAGGCACGGCTTTTTGCGCCGCCTCCACCGAGGGCCTATTGATCTACAGCCTCGACAACCTCCTGCAGTTCGATCCCTTCGACCTGAACATGGAAATCACACCCGCCTCCACCCTTGCCGTCCTCGAAAACGAGAAGGACTACCTTAAGGCCCTGGTCATGGCCTTCCGCCTCAACGAGGCCGGTCTGATCAAGCGTGTGTTCCTCTCAATACCGCACAGCAATATCGCCCTCGTCGTCGAGGACACGCCAATCGTCTATGTCCCGAGGTTACTCCGCTTCGTGGCCGCGCAGACCGAGGAGACACCGCACATTGAGTTCTGTCTGCTCTGGGTCAAGGCACTAGTCGACAAGCACGGTGCCTGGCTCACGCAGCACAGGGGCAAGGTTGACGTTGAGCTGCGTGTTGTTTCGAGAGCTGTTGCACGAATGAGGGACGAGATTAGGAGGCTTGCGGACGACAACGTGTATATGGTGGATTACCTGCTTGGCCAGGCCAGTGAGAAGGAGGCCAGCGGTGTGAAGATGCTGGATCTTGCGGCTTACGACGCACCCAGCAAGACGCTAGCGATTGGAGACGCTGAGGATGGCGAGAGCGAGTCTGATGGTGAGGGATGGATTGGTATGGATTAGATAATGGGCTGGAATAGATAAAATTACAATGTATACCCCGTTTTTACAATTTCCGGCATCCTACATCCTCGGTGATATCTTTCAGTACCCTGGCCGCCACCGAATGTCCTGTGCAGTTGCTTCATTGGAATATCGTATTTGCTTACAGTTTCGAGGAATCCCGAGAGGGCACGTCCTAAATAAGTCAGTGGCAAAGTTCGAGGATCTCATTTCGACCACTCACCTTCCACGCCTCGTCCAGGCCAGTCGATCGAACCCATTTCGTGCCAGAGTGTTCCGTCCCGTCCAGAACAGAGTAATGCAGCTTGAGCCACTCATCATCATTCTTGATCCTGATCCATGGCTTGTTGCTGTATTTTTGGGATAGCTCCTGACAAATTCCGAGTGCTCGTATCACTTTGATGGTGTGTCCATCATCAGACTGGTGGTGGAATCTAGGAAGGAGATCTGTTCTAAACTTAGTGTGCTTTCTCTCGGTGACTCATCCAATTGGCTAACCTGTAGGCTTAGAGACGAGCAGCTTATTCTGGTCCTTGTCCTTCGGCCTGTACGAGCTGATGGCGTCGACGCGGATCTGCGGGCTGCCACGCGCCGCGTACTGGACGAGGTCCATACGGATCTTGTGTTCCAGCATCCGAATCTTGTTCTCTGCGGAGATCCAGGATTTGGAGTTGAAGCAGAGGAAGATTGGAGATGCGTTGACGTGGTGGCTGCTCACTTGTCAGCTGCGCTCGACTTTTCAAAAAACCCTGAATACTCACATCAAGAAAAAGTCCCACCTGCTCTCCTTGCCAGGCTTGAGTGCTGCAGTCCCAGCAACATAACAACTCGCATGGAACATCTCTGCGGTCCTCTCATCAAGTTCCTCAGGCAAGACCTTTACCTTGCTCACAACCTCCATCATCTCACCTGGCGCACGCTTGAGAACCCCGTCAAAAACCTTGTTCGAGTCCTTCATCTGCACCGAGTTCACCAACTTCTCCCTCCCTCTAATCTCCTCGATCAGATCCATGATTTCGGGCATCGGCGTCTTCGCATTCTTTGCGTTCTTCTCGGCCTCTTTAAAGAATTCACCAAGCTGGTTCTTGTGAACGGAAGCCTCCGCCAGAGCCTCGGCGACGATGGCTGGCTGCTCCCACTCCACGCCGTACATGAGCTGGATGATGGGGTGCAGAAATCCCGCAAACATGCGCTGAAACATGTCCTCAGCGCGCGCGTCACCCTTGAAGAGGTACTCGTTCAGTGTCTCTCCCCATCCCTTCTTCTCGATCTCGCGCTGAAAGAAGAGGAGGAAGTCGGAATAGTGCTTCTCTCTGCCGAGGTACTTTTGCGCCTTGTCCCAGTCGTGCAGCTCGTCTGCAACACCGTTGCTGGGGTCTTTGGCTGGGCGTTGATAGTTGGCATTATCTTTCCAGGCTAGTTGGAGGGCGTCAGAGTCGGCGCCGGTGCCGTAAAGGGCAAGAAGGTGATGAGGTATCTAAGAGGGGGGTGAGAGAGGTTCTATGGTGGGTGAGAGACAACTCACGTGGTTGTGGAATCCTTCAGCGTTGAAGAATACATGGTGTTTCTGTGCAATGGTCATTACAAGCCTGATAAGATGGGATTGTTTGTGAAGTCCTTACTTCGAGATCCTTTTGCAGAAGCTCAGACACCTTATTCGCAGAGGCATCCTGCTGATTGAACTTCCACAACCCAGTGTTTCCAACCGGGACCTTGATGTTGTAAGCCGTCGCCATGTTGATTGATCTCGCAAAGTTGAACAAATACGATCGGTTTCCAGTGATGGCAATGTGTTTTGAGATCCTCTTCGATGCAGGGGACAGTCGCATCTTAGATAAAGATAAGCATCAACCCGGGGAGGAGCTCCAGGCCGGAACTGAACCTTAATTAAGTACGTATGGCAGCAGGGGCACATTCGACATGTAACTTCGCCAGCTTACAAATGAGGCACGTAGGAAAGGGGCGAGCGCGATGGATGACATGCGATTCGGCTGTGTTCCCATAGGATGGTTAGTAGCGGGTAGGTTGGCAGGGGGTCTGTGATGCCCCTGTTTGAGTTTCCTCCTTGTCAACTACCCCAGATTTTGACGTCATCACCACGCTACGGGGTTGTAAGCGCGAGGCGACCCGTCGATTAAGCTAAGCCATCTGGAGTCATTTGGCAATCATTATTCAATTAGATTTCACGTATTTGTTCTCAGATATCAGAGCTCGGATGATGTATGTCAGCTCCGACGACCTATCCGGTCGGATCTGTGTCGATCTTGACCTCGGTGCCGCCCGGACAGCGAGGATGTCCGATTAGGATCAGGGTACCGCCGGAAGTCGTTGCGGCGCCGTTTGTAAATCCGACCGATTACTAAGTCCGGCTTCGAGGACTGGTGCAAAAACCAAGTTAGAATGCCATCAGTGTAACGACGTTGAGTGTCGGTTGGTAAGCTCAGGTGGGGAAATCGTGGAGAAGGCATTCTAGACCCAACTCGGCCCTGGGCGTTCAACGCGAAAGCCGAATAGATGTGGAGTACACTTTCACGAAGTTCGAAAGGGCCCTGGCCTCATATATAGCGTGGGTAACATTGTGTGTAGTCTGTTGGGACTTAGTTGAGCAACATCAAGTTACAAGTCTCACTATTCTGGCTATACATTTGAGAGGACGGACGGCTACTCTGATCGTGAAGGAATAACCTGGATGCCGGGGAACTTACAAGACAGATCTTCCCCTCTCCATGGATAATGGAAAGGTTGCGGATACAACAGTTGTAGCGAGGTTGGTGGCGATCTTCAGATATCCCTTACAGACTCAGATTGCTGGCCAAGGCTTGGCGTTCAAGCCACACGCCTCCCTTAGCCTGCGACTCAAATAAGGCTACCTGAAGCATCAGGAAATTGATGCAGATATATCAAAGTCGGTCTCTTTGCTGTTTGGCCGCTGCTGGTTTCAAAATAACATCCAAAAAATAATGCTTCCATTGTCCAAATATATGAAATCACCACCCAGGTCAAGCTCAAATTCAACTCCTCACAGCTACAGTGGGTTGACTTGGGCGCATGAGATCCTCTGTTTTAGACGAGAACTTGCAAGACCTGTCTCATCTGTAGTCTCAGGACACGATACCATGTAATCACTAAAAAGAAACAAAGACATGGTCGTCCTTGAAAATATCACTCAAAAAAGTGTCGCCACCCGAAGCATCGGAGAATAAATGCGGTTATGTGTGGCTGGCCATCGAACACAGGCAATGTCAACAACGTGCCACTCACCCTTATAAGGCTGATCGGTACATCTTGAGCGTGGTCTTCGCCTTCACTAAGGAATGGTAGAGCTTACGGGCTCATGCGGGACTTTGCCCCCTTCTTCTGCGACGTTTGGCCTTGGCCTTCGGAGGGATAAGGGGCGAGAGTCGGGCATCAGGCAGCAAGCGTTCGCTCCTTTATGAACTGCCAACTCCCTCTTTCCCATAGTGATTTCAATTTAACCCATACCGATCGCAAACCATTGCTTCTGTTGTGACAACCGCTGGCGATGCGCTTATCGATCATCCTTCTGCTGCCATGGCTAGCAGTTGCAGCTCATGGCCAAATCACGTCGGAACCGTCAGAACTCACCCGGCGTGACGACGTGCCGCCAATCTCTGACTTCCTTCGTCGAGCTTTTGCTTCAGGTATGTTGTGGGTCAAGCTTGATAGCTGGTAGCTGATTTGTCTTCAGCTATCATCATCGGTGATTACCTCTACATAGATGGTGGTGAAGTCGCACAGAACTATGACGGCAAGAATATGTCCTCTTATTACACACCGTCATTGCCAGGTTAGTTTATTTCATCTTCCCAATGCAATACAACAAATCGTTGACCTTCTTGTTTAGTGAACTCGACGCTATCGATTAACTTGAAGCAGTCCTGGAACAGTGCGAATGTCACGATGCTTTCCGCCCCCAAGGGCGAAACACCCAGGATGGAACTCCAGGGTATCTGGCGCGATACAGAGTCCAAGTCATTCTACGTCTTGGGCGGGCAAGTTCCTTATTGGAGTAAGCCACCGGAAAACGATATCTGGCGTTTCGAGGTTGACGGCAATGGAGGCGGCGCCTGGTCAAAGAGAAGTCCGCCCAATCTTGCCGAGCTATACAAACTTGATCGAGCAACAGAGGGTGCCTTTTGCCAGAGCAAGACCACCGGCTACTACTTTGGTGGCTATGCAAACGCGCGAACCGACTTGTCTATTACAGACAAAGACAAGACCCTCAACGTTCCAGGGCTTGTGTCCTACGACTTGAAGACAGGCTCGATCAACCATACCACTTTCCAAGGGCCTGGAAACTTCACATTTAAGGGTGGTACCATGGAATATGTGCCCTTTGGGCCGGACGGTTTACTGCTCGTGTTGGGAGGGTTTCAAGGGGCACCGACAGAGACCGGCTATGGCAACTGGACAGGCGTGGACTTCGCTTCCGTCAATTTATATGATATAAAGGGTGAGTGAAAACATCAAATCAACGAGTCTCGACTAAGCCAATGGTAGCCAACAAGTGGCACTCCCAGCAGACCACCGGATCGAAGAGCAGCATTCCACCACCATCAGAGAAGTTCTGTACAGTTGGTGTCCAAGGACCTAACAAAACATATGAAATGTAAGCAGGAAATTTTGTCGAAATTACATGCAGCTTACACGAATGCCCAATTCAGCTTCATCTACGGCGGGCGGGTCATGGGAGAATCGATACGGAATGCTACCGACGACGTCTACGTCTTGAGCCTACCCAGTTTTGTCTTCTTCAAGGCCAACGATCCGCAATCGACCAGACGCCTGGAACAGGCTTGTGTTGCAACCGGGAGACAGATGATATCTGTTGGCGGAACGGACGGCCGCGCCTGGCCCTCGTCGCTGACAGACAAAGATCCATGGCCTCAAGGAATCGGCATTTTCGACATGACGGAAACGCGTTGGAGTGATCAATATAACGCAAGCGCGGATCCTTATGAGTCTCCAGATGTAGTCAAGAACTGGTATGCTCAGGGAAATCGGGTCGACTGGTCAAGTGATGAGGTTGAGGCGCTATTCAAAGAATGTAAGTGACCATCGACGCATAGAAGTGAAACCGCCACTAATCTCAAGAGAAGCTGCATTTCCAGACCCTACGAATACGCCAACATCATCTCCGAACGATGGCAGCTCTGAAAATTCCGGGACGCCAACTGGTGCCATTGTGGGCGGCGTTGTCGGTGGACTAGGAGGCTTGGCTATCATCGCCGGGCTTGCCGCATTCTTTCTGAAGCGCAAGAAAAGGCGCCCGGAACTCCTGATCCCGCAAACTATGCTCCGGTCTCGAAGTTCGGTTCTGACGGTGGTGCTTACACGGAGCCCGCTATGGACCAGGTCCATAAAGCGAATGCCAACCAGCATTCAATTCCTGTGGAATTACAGGGCCATCACGGGGTTTCTGGAGTATACTCGCCAACTCCTGTCAGACATGAAATGGCCGCATGAGGCAATTGGAGAGCAGTGCTGTAAAGGGTTGAAAGGAGTGTGAAAGAATCTCGGTGCCAGCGAATAACATGCCATGAAAGGCGCATACGGCACTTGAACCGATTAAAGGACATAGGAAGGGAATGATCGTGCGTGTATGGTGCTCAAAGAGGAAGTCGGCAGTACAGCTACCTACGATATTAGATGTCGCATAACGAGATTGAGGCCGCATAACATCAAGTCCGGAAAGCGCAATCGTATGAGCATGTTTCAGCTGCCTGAGCAATCTCAGCCTCTTGTCCCGTGATATGTGTCTCCCAACACCGTCAGCGGACAGGCCTTTCTGTCCCATGCAGCAGCGAGGGCTACTACCCACGTCTTCCTGAAAGGCTCTCATGAACGTCGTGATCAATGCGTCACCAAACCCTGGCTCCTTTGCTTTGGCAAGCAGCTTCGTCCCTTCAGATGCATCCTCCTTGGGATTCCGCCATTAACACTCGAGGGTTGGTTGATGCCCCACCTGCATCCAGCTTCCTGCGAAGAGCATAACGTTCAGGCCAGTTGCATCGCGGCATTCTTACCCAAGAACGGACCCGCTGATTTCCCGAAGCCATTGCCATCGGAAAGTACGTCTACATAGACGGAGGTGAAGTTTCGCAATACGAAGGCAAATACAACGAAAATTGCAGTTACCCATCATGGCCAGGTATGCAGAATTCTGTTCTCAAAACTTTGATGGAACTGACGCTGGTTTGCGCGGTAGTCAACTCGACTATCTCCATCGGCCTGACTGAGCCGTGGGACCCCGCAAGCGTCACGATGAAAACAACCCCGAAATCAGGCCATATATGTTAAACGGGCAAGCCATCTGGAAAGATCCTACCTCGAAAGCCTTCTTCACCTGGGGCGGCTGGAAGGGAACCTCAACGCCTTGGGATAAGAAGATAGTGCAATTCACAGCTAATGACACGGGCGGAGGCCATTGGCAAGACATAACACCCCCCAACCTTCTAGCTATCGCTCGGACGAGAGAGGGAACGTTTTCCCAGAGCAACAACGTCGGTTACTACTTTGGCGGCTACACTACCAGGGAACGGACGCCGATTGCACCAATGGAAGTCAACCATCTAACTCAACACTGGGAAACAAAAGTGTTGAGGGCCGCCCTGCCCCTGGGCTCGTGTCTTTTGACATGCGATCCGGCGAGATGCGAAGTATTTCATCCAGCAGGTTTGGTAAGTACGGAACATTCAAGGGCGGCTCCCTGCAATTTGTGCCGTTCGGCCCCGAGGGCTTACTCGTCGTCCTCGGCGGGTGGGAGGCACCTGTGTCAGCAACTCGTTTCTCAATATGGGACGGGATGACATTCGATAAAATCTCAGTCTATGACCCCTACGGTCCGTATCTCCAAATTGCAATCATGATCTGAAGCTGACATCACAATTTCGTGACGAGTGGTATCAGCAGCAAACCACGAGTGATGCCCCGTTTCGCAAAGAAAAGTTTTGCACTAAGGGTGTTTCTGGCCCCAATAACACCTACGAAATGTGAATGCAGTATCTCGACTCAAGGGACAATAATTTGACAAATCCCCGTTGAGCAGTTTCATCTACGGTGGTCGGGAGACAAACAGCTTTGCTACTTCCGACGAGGTCCACGTGCTTAGCCTTCCTGGTTTCGAATTCTTTAAGGCAGACCTCAACGGCCTTTCGACACCACGCGCAGACCACGCATGTACGGTAATCGGCGGACGACAAATGTTATCTGTTGGCGGGTTATTTCCTGAAACATTTATCGGCAAGAGATTCTCAACACCGGATCTATGGCCCTTGGGTCTCGGCATCTTTGACATGACGGAACTCCGTTGGACAAACCGTTACGATCCGAATGCTGGAGGTTATGACTCTCCCAAGGTGGTTAAAGATTGGTACAGCCAGGGTAACGTTGCTAACTGGGTATCTCCGGAGCTCAAGGCGCTCTTTGCTCAGTGTAAGTGAGACCTGAACACCCTTTGTGTGTTGGCGACTGGTGGCTCATCAACGATAAAGGGTCTCCGAACGCTACAGCAAGCGAAGTAGGATTGCCTAGTGATACGGAATCTCAGCCATCAGAACCTCAGCCATCAGGCCCTAATATCGGCGCTATTGTGGGTGGTGCCGTTGGAGGAGTCGCAGCACTGGTTCTCGTTGCTGGTCTGGTGTTGTTCTTCAGGAGACGGAGGAAGCGGCAGGTAGCGGCAGCACCACAGGATTCTTCTCCGTCGTCGAAGTTTGGCTCAGTCGGCACCGCGTATACGGCGCCGGCCTTGACTGAAATCCACGAAGCGGACTCTTACAATCTCAGAGAGTTGCCAGCGAACCATGGGGTGCCGACCCTGACTGGAATCCACGAAGCGGGCTCTTACATTCTCCTTGAGTTGCCAGCAAACCATGGGGTGCCTCCTAGCTCATATGAGCCACAGCCTAGGCACGAGATGGCGGCATAACAATCAGTCTGCAAATGAATGGTATGAAAGAAGATCACTTGTAATGGAACGTAGTAGTTATAACAAACGAAAAAGCTTTTGATTTTGGTCCCCATCCAAGGGCTAACTGATTATGTGGTATCACCATCTAATGTTCCAAACGTCATCACATCATTGCTGCAACCGCGCGCGCGCCTCTCCTTGCCTTCCAAGCACATTTACGCGTCACCCATCTCCTCATCGTCGTCGTCCTCGTCAGTCTCGAACTCGGCGTCGCTGAGATCGCCGGCCTCCTGCGCTTGCGCTATCATGGACAGTAAGTCTCTGTCACCATCATCGTGGGCGGCGGCGCCGCCCTGCGAGCGGATGAACTTACTGAAGTAGGTGAGCGCGTCGGGCCAGAGGTCCTGGGCGATGGCGGTGGCGATGTCGTCGCCGTCGGGGAAGATCTCGTACTCGAACTCGTCCTCCTCGTCGTCGTCGTCCTCGTCGGCCTTCTCCTCGACCTTCTCGCCGGCCTTGCGGCGGTTGAACTCGTCGGCCTCCTTGGCGGCGAAGGCGGCGCTCTCCTCGGCGGAGATGCGCTTGCCGACGTAGCCGAACCAGCAGAAGAAGGAAACGCCGCCCATGCCGGTCTCCTCGATCTTGGCCTTGAGGGCCTGGGCCTCCGGGGTGGGGGCGGGCTTGCCCTTGCCGGAGAGGACGGGGCCGCCCTGGGCCCAGACCTTCTGGACGGCGGTCAGGAGGCCGTCGGTCAGGTCCTTGCCGGCCTTCCAGTTGATGTTGACGGGCTCGGAGACGAGGCCGGTGTAGTTCTCGGAGGTGCGCCACCAGAACTTCTTCTCGAGGACCTTGTCCTCGAAGTGCTCGTTGTCGCCGAACTCGAAGCGGATGGCGATGGAGCGGGGGTCGCCGTTCTGGCCGTTCTCGAGCTCGAAGCGGGAGACGGAGATGTTCTTGAGGGAGGCCAAGAGGAGGGCGGCGTCCTGGGGCTGGATGTACTCGTCAATCTCGGGGGGAGACTGCTCGAAGACAAGGGCCCAGAAGTTGGGGATCTTGGCGACGATGGCGGCGCGCTTCTCGTACAGAGGGCGAGAGAGCTCGTACTGGCGGCGGACTAGAAGGCGGGGAGGGCGTGTGAGATTACAGATTTTTCTGAGGGCTCGAAAGGAAAGGAGGCGACCAGAGTGTATGAGGGAGGGAGCAAAAACTTACGCATCTCAGTCTCGACCTGCTCGAACTCGCGCTCGATGTCGGCGAGCTCCTCGTAGGTGACGCCAGTCTCAATCATCTCGACCATTTTGGCGGTTGTAATGAAGATTCGGTGAAGGATTAAAGAGAGAGTGAGTGTGTGTGGTGAGGGTGAAGCTCAAGTGTGTTTTTGAGATTTCACCGTGGCGGGGTATTGATTATGGAGGGGTAGCAGGAAAGATCAGGCAGCGCAAGATGAGAAGGAACAACTGGGAAGGGGGTCGCCTCGCACTGGGGATCACCGGTTAAATATGAATCGCAAGTGCAGTCTGCTTAGCAAATCGTCACGAATTACAACACTTTTGTGATTTATTATGGATGGGCCGTGAAAAAAAAAATAAAAAAATTCATCACCCAGCATGAGGATGGACGGACGGGTGACGAGGGGACCCGACTGGACTGACGTGGGGTTCGACGACGACCAGAAGAAAAAATTTCCCCCTCGGTGCAAGCTTCCTGCAAGCTGCCTTCCCTAGTCGGTGGTCTTTTTTTTCCCAGGCGGTGACTGATGTCATTGGGTACGTCCCACGTCCCTGTTGATCTCGAAGTTTTCAGAAGAGGAGGAGGAGGCCACCCTAGTCCAGGTTTCCCATCAATGAGAGGTTGCGCAACGACGCAGCCAGCGCAGAACCACTGGATCAGAGACGGAGAATTTTGGCGGGGCAGCCACAGAGCTGGTTGGTGATGGACATGGATGTTGTCTGGGCCTGGCCCAATGAGGAATGTCGTTTTTTGGTGCAGGTGCAGATAGATGCCTTTCTCACTAACACAGAGCAGCGAAGAAAAGCTATTTCTTGGGTGCTTTTCTGGCTTGTCTCTGTTAAGCTCTCGTGAAAGGCGTTGCAGAAAATCAGGGGTCCTTTAAAGACCCTGGGGCGGGTCCTCTCTGTGGCTGCTACAGGAACATCGCTCACTTTTTTTTTCTCTTCTAGTTAACCCACATCTACCAACTTGTACCAAGTCCACAACTGTGATTCCCCCACATCAATTTCCCACCCGGTGCCTTCTAGATCGCCAGTCACACTCAATCTTGTGAAAAATTCGGTCGTGCCCCGAAGAACATTTTCTTCTTTCTGCCTAAGTCAGCGGCAATTGCACCGGTATCCGCCCTGGCCTTACCAGGAGACCGCTGCCAACTTTTGTCATGCGGGATTCGTGCTAACCACCATTGGCAGTTTGTTGTTTTTCTCCATGACCAAGTGAGGTCCACTGAGGGGTTACTTTTGTTGTTGTCCCCTCTCGCGTCGAGACTCGAGTTGCTTGTAGCTTCTCTGAGATTCTGCCAAATTCTCATGATGTTTGACATTGTGTATGCTGGGGTTGACAGTGGGTATGTTGAGTTTGAAAGGTGATAAGTGATTGCAGGCAGAGCAGGCAGTTGCAAGAGTTGAGAGAGAGAACGTGCAAGAGGCTTCCTCACTCGTCTGGTAACAGCTGAGTTCTCGAGGATGTAACCAAACCTCGGGACAATATCCCTGCAGGCCGAAGGAAGGGAAAGACTTTCTGACAATATTGTCAATCTCAGTTCCTGGGATCATGACAGACAGAGATCTTCGTGAACGGCACTAATACGAGCCGGAGGACGGAATCTCGACTTTAGTCAGTGGGTAGGTAGTAAGAGGGTCATACCGCCCCTCACCCACGGGATGTCACCGCGACAAAAGTTTTTGTTTACACCACAGTCAACACAGTTCACTTCTAGACGGTATGTAAATCTCGTATATTAGGTGCAGCATGATTCTCACAGCATCTTCTGCAAGCACGCAGAACGAATGGCCAGGGAGGCGTAGACGAGGTGCCTTCACTCAGAAACACCTCAACCATGATGATTTTCCATCTCCAGTTAACTAGCAACATCCCAGGTTGGCGTTGCCGGGAAACGCATGTGAGCACTCAGGGGGCGAACGAGTTACATACATTGGTTCGTTTAATTAAACAAATATGTTCCTGTCGACAAGTCTCGAACCGGCTTTCTGGTCCCCGATCACCCAGACTTTTCCGTTCCGAGAATGACTAAGTACATATTCAGGCTATGAACTCAATTGCAACAAGGGTAACATGGATGTTCAAACAAGCTTGATCACGACCAGAGTCAGGATCCTTGTCGGACGCCACATCTCCCTTCTACGGTCAGCCAGCTTTGATCATAACAACCGAAGCCAAAGACGCATGGTGTGAGCCTTATATGGCGAGTTGAACAGGTCTTAGCCCTAGGTAAAACTGAAACAAGCTGTCTTTGGTCGTTTGCTTTTGAGAAGCAAATATCGTCGACTTATTGCAAGCCATTCCTCGCGACAAGCAAGCGTGAAGAAGGCTGGCCATGTGCCTATGTATTCTTCTCCAAGTCAGCATTGCCCTATCTGCCAAGTCATGATGCTATGTGTACACTTCGATACTTGCAAAACATGAAGTTGGTCACCGGTCTCTCGCACAAGGTTGAGCCGCAGCTTGTCAATATCAGCCTCTATTTCAGCGAGGACGTCTTGAGAGCAGTGCGAAGCTAGACGGACTTGGTAATGCCGTTGCTGCTTAACACCACTGGACACGGATGGAATCGTCGCATGTGAAAGTGGACAGCATCCTCTTCTCTTGAAGGATATCGTCTGAGTTGAGTCAGCTACCCCTGAAAAGTCTGATCAAACCGAGATTTGTGTGATGATTATCATCGAGACCAAGCTTTTTCTCTTATTGTGAATCCCTCTGCTGGGTGGGCTCGAAACTTCCTCAACATCATCGAGACCAAAAGATTTGGAGTTGTCAACCTTGGCGGCCTCACAAAATTAAGAGCATGTACGTTATAGATATTAACAGACAATATATTTTCGGGACTTTTATTGCTTGCGCAGTCCAAGTTTTGACCCTTCGTGTCCATGGCCCAAACTCCCATCACATGCAGCAGCTGCCTACCGCATCTGTTTGGCGGTGGCATTCCCTCATATCCAGATTGGCCAGCCAGCCAAATCGTCTCTTTTCACCCTCTATACCCTCCTTAGAAAACAGTTACCCAGTCGTAAGTCATCATAGCATGGATATGGTTGGTAGATGGGGTAGATGAGTCGGGGGATATATCAACCTCTGTGCTGCGCAAATCGCCGGGGTATATCAAGAATAAGATCGCAGAATACCAGAACGCCGTGCCTGGACAAGTGTAGCCAAAACCATTTTCCCAATCACCACGTCAACTTGGTCACCCGGGATCTAAGGTCTGGCGATCCGGGAATGATGCCGCGAGTACCAACCTGTAAGTTGGCAAACCTCGACCTCAGATCAAAGTCCACGGCGCGGACCATAACGCGCTTCTCCTCAGGAACGGACCGCTTCGACTTCATGAGGCCCGGTATAACGCTGTCCCTCCGGGCGTCCCAACGAGCATTGCCACCAGGTCCGAGAGGAACATCCCCAGCGAAGTCAACTGAGCCTTGCCTGGCATTACCATTCGAATGACCCATCATAGGCGGCGGCGATGTTATCTTATCCTCCTCTTCCTCAATGTTCACAACCCATTGCCCAATGCGTGCCGTCAATTCACTGTCCCACATGCCTTCCCGGCGAGCGCTGCTGCTTAGAAGCTGGATAGCTTGGCGTCGAATGATCGAGTGACGGCATTTGGTAGCCACCACAAACAACGGGGGAACGATTCCAAGATCGGCACTAAAGCTGGGCTTGATGTGAAATGTGCTGTATGCGTTGCCGCCAAAGATGTCCGGAGAGTGGCCATGTCGGTGAGGGCAGAGGGCGGGATCGGGACATCTCTTTGCCGCTGCTCGTCTCTCCTCGTCACCCACTACTTCCGAGGCAAGGTCGACAATAGCCTTGAACTGAGGTTGGAATAGGTCGAACTGTGATTCACTGTCGCTATAAGTCATGAGAAATAGTATCTGGCTCATGATTTGGAACATCTTCAGGACAGCGATGCCGGCCTTTTCATGATGACTGACGCCAGGAGCTGTGCGAGATTCGAGTAGATATTCAAAAGCCTCAGACCAAGCGTCGAGTTGGCCTTTGAAGCTCATTCCGTACTGCTTCAACGATTTGGGCAGGATTCCCATTGGCCCGTTCGCGCCAGTCGACTTTTGGTAGATGAAGAGAGTTTCTGTGAATCGAAGCATTTTCTCGAGAAGTTTGTCCCAGGCACTGCGCGCCTCCATCAGAGTAAAGAATTGTTCAGGCATGGAGCTAGAGCTCATGGATGACGGTGAGCTGCCAGCATCTGATGGCGGGGACTGCGGGTATTCGGGATTCTGAGGGGTCAGTCGGATCACGAACGGCTCTGGGAAATGGAACGCCATGTCGTATGATTTTGCTTGGATCGCGAGCCTGGTAAACATGGTGATGAGCTCCTCCTCGACCGGCTCCTCAGAGACGGCTAGGAAGGATCTCCTCCGTTCAGCTCGGAGCTTTTCCAACAAACCGAGGCCTGTTTGAATTTGCCTAATTGCCTGTTTGTGGTCGCCAATGAAGGAGTCGAAGCAGGCTAGAAGCACGCTGGCCATAAGTAATGTGCGGTGAGACTTTTGGTCGCGGCTGAGATCGACTAAAGAGTTCATAGCCTCGGAGTACTGCTTGACTGCCACTTCCCAGTGGCGATATGCCCCGTCCGCGGGGCTGAACGAGTCGGACGGCGATCCCGGCGGAGACTCGCATGATTGTTCAAGGGTCTTGTACAAAGCACCTAGCGCGACCACTGCATGGCGAATTGCGTTCCCGGAGTGACACTCCTGCAAAACGGTCCGAGTCCAAAACACCGAGTCAAAGTATCCAGACAGCTCATTCGCTGTATGTAAGCGGAAGAGTTGGAAATAGAGTCCCTCCTGTTGAGAAAGCTGGAGATTGCCCGCTGGGCGGTAAAGTGTAATAGAGGCGCTGGACTCGGGTGTTTGAGGGGGCGTTGTGCGTCGTGCTTGCAACTTCTGGGCTCTCCGAGGCGGTAGTTCGGTTGATGAGCGGATGGGAGGCCCACCATTCGGGGCAGCAGCCAGAAGAGGTTTTGGCGCAATGGCGAGAACTTCGTGAGGTCTTGCGCTGCGACTCGGCGGTGGGTAGCCCGTG